GGTTTTTTTAACCGGTTCATTGAAACGAACTGTCCGAAAGAACCGGTTCGCGGAAAAGAACCGGACTTCCCATCACTACTGAACGGGCTGGGACCGACGGAACACAGCGTGAGCGCGCTGAAACATTAACCATGCTACTGAATTTCAAAATAAACGTTGTTTTTTTTTTTAATTATGTTGGTAAGGTTTTTGTTAATACTTTCTCAGTTATTAGTTTTATTTTTATCCCATAATTAGTATAATCATATTTTGTAGCTGTTGGATAAAGAAAGCAATAAAAGCCCAAATAGCATGCATCTAGACATTATTATTATTATTATTATTATTAATATATTTCACACACTCCTTCACATACATTTAGTTTAGATATATTCGTGTTGTAATATTAAAATGCTAGAATTTGTCTTTTTTTCCATGCACCTAATGTTGGTAACAGGTTGGTAACAAACAAACAAAGAAAATAAAAACTTTTTAATTTTTTTATACTTTCAGGCATTGTTTTGTACTCTATTTGTGTCTGTTGTGATTATTTCAATAACTGAATTATAAAATTTATTAAAGGGTTAGTTCACCCAAAAATGAAAATTAGCCCATACATTACTCACCCTCAAGTCATCCTAGTTGTATATGACTTTCTTCTTTCAGATGAATCCAGTCGGAGTTATATAAAAAATTGTCTTTGATCTTTCAAGCTGTTTAATGCCACTCAGCGGGTGTTGCAGTGCATCAGTCCAAAAGAAGTGAAATAAAAAGCGCCCATCCATAATAAAAAGTGTCTCACACGGCTCCGGGGCTGAACAAGGGCCTCCTTTAGCGAATCGATGTGTTTTTGTAAGAAAAATAACCATATTTAAAACGTAATAATCAATTTAATCTAGCTTGCACTCACTGTTGTACACAGAAGCAGCTCCGGGCGGATGACACAACACCGCTAAGTGCCATGAAACAGCTTGAAAGATCAAAGACAATTTTTAATATAACTCCGACTGGATTCATCTGAAAGAAGAAAGTCATATACAACTAGGATGACTTGAGGGTGAGTAATTTATGGGCTAATTTTCATTTTTGGGTGAACTAACCCTTTAAGTACAATTTCTGGTGGTCAGAACAATTTTATGACAATTTTGTATGCCACCTTTTGCATTTGTGCCATTTCATTAATTGTTTTGTGTTCTTTATACATTTTTACTGTTTACATTTTACTGGAAAGCCTTTAGTAGACGGCTGAATGGCATATTGCATTGTGGTAAATATACCCCATATATTGTGACAACATGCCCCACTATGTCTATTGGTAAAAAAAAAAAAAAAATTTAAACATGCTCTGAGAAACCTGCATGTTTTCAGACTATGTTGCAAAGTAATATTTAAAAGCATGATTTTCTTTCTTTTATGTTATTTAAAGGGGTCATATGATGCGATTTCAAGTTTTCCTTTCTCTTTGGAGTGTTACAAGCTGTTTGTGAATAGATAAGATCCTGAAGTTGCAAAGACTAAAGTCTCAAAACCAAAGAGATATACTTTATCAAAGTTAAGACTGCCACGCCCCCCTAAAACGACTCGTTCTAACACGCCCCCACATATCTACCTCACTATGTGGAAATATTAGCATAATGCCGCCCAAATGTGCATGCAAAGAAAGAAGGTAACATGTTACTGAAGTTGGAAAGCGCCGCTTTTCTATCGCGAATGTGCCGAATCTGCTGATGTAACAACCGCTAAATGATAGAGAAGGGGAGGGGGAGGCCGGGGGAGAGCTGAGCTCTCGTGCCTCCATTGGAAAAAAAAAATGAGCCAATCACCATCGAGTGTTCACATTCAGCGCTGAGGAGTGTTGAGAAAAGAAACCTCGCAATAGTGATGGGCGATACCACTTATTTTGTTTTCGATACGATACCGATATTCTTCAAGGCAGTATCGTCGATATCGATACCGATACGATACTTCTAAACTAAACTTTTAAATGATGAAATTTATTAAATTATTAAATTACTAAGACTAAAATGGGTAATAACCACTTAACTTTGTGTTTAAAACACATTTTAACATTCGATATGCCTTAATTGTAATTTATTAGGTTATATTTTTGTTTACACATGGTTCAAATGTGTTTTTTGTTTACACATGATTCAAATCTACAAATACTACAGTTGAACTGTGGTCACTTTAGTAACACCATGGTTCATTATCATAAGGGACTGCCAGTGACAGTCTGTTGCATCCATAAATCTCTTTGATGGATTGGTTCTGTCTTGCAACATTTGCATGTGTTCAGATGAGCAGGAAAATTGTTCTATCCTACACAATTACTTGCGAACAAATGTTATTCGTCCAATTCAATGCATTTGTACGCATTATTATTATTATTTTAAATAAACAAAATCACTGGTAAATAAAACACACCTTAGTATCGATATTTTTAGCTTGAGTATCGATACTTTCGATACTCGCGTTAGTATCGATATATCGATACTTAGGATCGATACGCCCATCCCTATCCGGCACTACTTACTCGTGATGTGGAAGCTGTCCTCAGTAAAATGCGCAGCACACAATAGCAAATTGGGGTTATAATGCTCAGGAACAAATTTCTGTAGGCGGGAATTATTTGTAATGAAATTCTAATGAGCCGCTTTGTGATATCACAAAGCCCGGAAAACAAACGCTGTAGTCCAAACGAGCAGTTCGTTGTAGTTCTTGAAAAGGGATTTTTAAAAAACGAAATATCTCCCTTTGGAGTGGACTTTGAGATTTGTAACTTTCTAGATCTTTTTAATGCCCAAACATACACACTACACACTGGCTAAAATTAAAAAAGTGAAAAAGCATAATAGGAGGACCTACAATAATGTACAGTATTTGAAAAATAATGTGTTTTTTGAACATTAAAGCATGTCAACATATTCTGTTACACCAAATACACAAAATAATGATCTTTAAAAAAGCATCATATGACCCCTTTAATTAAATTTAATTAACTTTCCTTGAGCTTCCCTTGAAGCTGTAAAATTTGTTACACAACAGATGAAACATTGCACAACACAAACTTCTTCTGATATCAGGCCAGCTATTCAAATGAAGCGATGGTCAGAGGTGAACAGAAGGCCAGACACAACACTAATGGAGTTGCAGATCTCTTTGGCTGAAATAGAAGAAACTGGAGATGCTGATCTCTTCGGCTCTTGAAAGATTGGCTGCCACTTCTGATAAAGTCACATCTGGAGTTTGCTAGCAATGTGAAGAATAGTTTTCAGAAATGGCCCCATGAAAGTCCAGCTTTAAATCCAGATGAAAATCTGCTTTTGCTCCTAAAAAGTTTTGAATCTAAAGCAAGAAAAATATTTTACTGTTTTGGTGTAACTTTGAAGGTGTAACAGAAATGAAATGTGGGTGTAAATGGTTTCTGAAGGCAGTGTATCATCTTAACCACATGCCATACTTTTGAATCCGCACGTTTGCACCTCTTGAAAATAATTGTATAATGTTGCTCTAAATACAGAATGATTCTAAACTTTATGTCTGTACTCTCTAGATGCTGAGAAACAGGTCATGAGATGTGTCTGGAAATGCATAAGATATAGCCAAAGTGTGATGACACTTCTGGTAAAACAGGAAGCCTGAACGGCTGACCTCATCTCACATTTAGAACATTTGTTTGAATTTGTTCAAAATACAGTTCATTCCTCCTTTTTCTGGTGTAAAGTGCTTAAAATAAGAGACAAATGCTTTATATTTTGAAAGTTTTTTTTTTTTTTTTTTGGAAAGGTCAAAATATATTACAAATACAATATGGCAAAAAAAAATATATATATATTTTTTTTTACAAAATTCTATCCAAACAATTTATTTAAATTACCTCTGTTGAATTTAGTAATATTTCCATTCCAAAATTAAAATTATTGTTTTAATACAGATCATGGGTCACACTGTGGACATTAAGAGTAAATAAAATAATAATAATAATAATATAAAAGTTTCAAAGTTGAAGAGCAAATAAAAATAGATCCTTACAATGCAAACTGGAATAAAATACACTTTTGCAGATCATGTCACATTTTAAGAATATATATTAATTATATCTGTGACCAAAAAAGCAGCATCCTGTATGGTTAAAAAACAAAAAAAAAAGCACATGAGACGTAATGTAGCCCTTTATGCAATAATGTCTTCCTCATTCAAATCCTGTTTAGAAAGCCAATCTATTTTCTGAGTTGAAACATATTCGGAGTAATCGATGTCTCCACTGGACTCGACAGTCGATCCCTCCTCTTCATTCTTGTTGAGTTCTTGCTCTGGACCGTCTCTCATCAACTGCTGATCCATGCTGATAAAAGGAGCGAAGGTGTCTGAGTTACCTGAACCCTCTCCTGACTGCTCCTCCGTCTCAGGAGTGGCTTCCTCTGTGCTAACTGGGAATCTGTTGGAAACAAAAGCACAAAGTCATTCTAGAGCGCTCCAAC